GTCACTCTTAGAGGGAACATCTCTCTCCAGAGGATCAGCAAATATCAGCAACTTGTCGACTATTTCGGACTGCCAACTGCCGTAGTCATTATCAAACTCTACAGACATCATGCTAGAATTCCGAGTCACTGTAAACCTTGACGTATTGTTCCCGACCCTTCTACAAGCGTATCCGTAACTTGCTTGACGAACCAGACACTGACTGAAGTCAGTCTGCGTTCTGACCTCAACCACTACTGGACCACTACTGAAAGCAAAAGACGACCAGGGTGCCGTTCCACCAACCGATCTTAGCCCTATGCCAATCGTAAACCCCTAAAATCCCAATCTTAGCGTGACGTTAAGATCAGCATACCGCTCCACTAACCAATCTTACCTAAGTCAATCGTAAAGTTAAGATTCAAAGTCTAAGTTGCTCATGACCAACTTAGGATAGCTAAAATCAATCGTAGAGAAACCAAAATGGTGGCTTTCCTATTCTATGTGAAAAATAAGAGCGAGCATTTCACCGTGAGCCTCCCCTAAATCCCCCATGAAATGAATTTGTATATTTCTATGATGTAAACAAACACTGCACTGAAGCCTTACAAATGTCAGGCCAGTCTGACCACTGTCGTCATGGGAACACAACCGAGCGAGTCGGTGTAACACATTTGTACAACAATATTGCAACGTCATGGTTAAGCATGGGGACAGCCGTGAAGTGAACGATGTTCTGAAGCAAAAAGATACAAATATGTTTGATTTCACTGCGCATATTTGGTGGGGGATTTTAAAGGCAGGCCGCGTGTTATTCAAGACCACCGACAGATTCTACATACGTTATAGCCTCCTCACGGCTGGTTTATTCTGATTGACAAGGTTCAGGCACATATTAAAAGCTCTGACACAATTGACATTTTTAAAGTTCAGACTTAAAACCTGTTCTCAGTATATTACTTATAATCTAAATACTCTCGTGTAAATTATCTGTACATAGCGCTTTGAGCATGCCCCAGGATGTGGAATAGGCGCACTATAAATATGCATTTATTATTATTATATTATGCCTGATACCCAGCGTTCACACGCACTTGCACCTGAAACCAAGGTGCTCACTACCCTAATATTTTGCTCTAGGTTTTTTCTCCACGTTTACACTTGGTTGGAAAAATACCCATGAAGGACCGGGTTAGAATATTGAACTTCAGTAACCCATGCTTGTCGTAAGAGGCCACTAACGGGATCGGGTGGTCAGGCTCGCTGACTTGGTTGACACATGTCATCGGTTCCCAAATGCGCAGATCGATGCTCATGCTGTTGATCACTGTATTGTCTGGTCCAGACTCGATTATTTATAGATAAGCTACATAGCGTTCATTAACATGAACGCTCATGTTAGTGAACGCTATGCATCTTAGCTAGATTATTTACAGACCGCCGCCATATAGCTGGACTATTGCTGAGTGCGGCGTAAATCTAAACTCACTCGCCCACTCAGTTGGTTCGTAAACTACTTCCATCATTTGCTAGACTATGCAAAGGGAGATAACTCGTGCCACGCATTCCTCTATCTCTCGCACGAAGGAGTCTCGTTCTAAGCATGGATCGGATCGTAAGATCGGGACCGGCTACGATCGGCCTAAGATCGGGTAGTGGGACGGGTGTAACTTTTAGCTAAGACGATTGTAAAATTGGCATAACTTGCTAAGATTGATCGGTTAGTGGAACGGCACCCTGGACACAGAGCGGTTGGGATGGACATAGGGAATATCGGCATGTCTGTGGTTGGAGGTCGTCTGGTAAGAGAAGGTACTCAATAATGGATCCCCAAGAACAACCAAAACCTCATACTTATCTGATGCCTCCGTGGTCGGAGGTGCAGATACCTTGACACTGTAAGCAGTCATAGACTCCCTGACACTGTATGGAGTCATAATTCCCTGACACTGTACGTATACTGTCGGGGTCACATACTCCCTGACACTGTATGGAGTCATCACTCCCTGAAATTGTAGTATTTTGTAGGAGTCACATACTCCCTGAAACTATACGTATACTGTAGGAGTCACATACTCCCTGAAACTGTTCATATATTGTAGGAGTCACATACTCCCTGAAACTGTACGTATACTGTAGGAGTCACATACTCCCTGAAACTGTACGCATACTCTAGGAGTCACATACTCCCTGAAACTGTACATATACTGTAGGAGTCACATACTCCCTGAAACTGTACGTATACTGTAGGAGTCATAGACTCCCTGACACTGTATACCACACTGTGGAGTCATCACTCCCTGAAACTGTACGTATGCTGTAGGAGTCACATACTCCCTGAAACTGTACATATACTGTAGGAGTTACATACTCCCTGAAAGTGTACGTTTACTGTAGGAGTCACATACTCTCTGAAACTGTACGTATACTGTAGGAGTCATAGACTCCCTGACAATGTATGGAGTCATCACTACCTGGAACTGTACATATACTTTAGTAGTCTCATACTCCCTGAAACTCTACGTATACTGTAGGAGTCATCACTCCCTGCAATTGTACGTATACTGTAAGGAGTCATAGACTCCCTGACACTGTATGGAGTCATCACTCCCTGAAACTCTACGCATACTGTAGGAGTCACATACTCCCTGAAACTGAACGAATACCGTAGGAGTCATAGACTCCCTGACACTGCAAGGAGTCATCACTCCCTGAAACTGTACGTATACTGTAGGAGTCACATACTCCCTGAAACTGTACGTATACTGTAGGAGTCACATACTCCCTGAAACTGTACATATACTGTAGGAGTCACATCCTCTCTGAAACTGTACATATACTGTAGGAGTCACATACTCCCTGAAACTGTACGTAAACTGTAGGAGTCACATACTCCCTGAAACTGTACATATACTGTAGGAATCACAGACTCCCTGAAACTGTACATATACTGTAGGAGTCACATACTCCCTGAAACTGTACGTATACTGTAGGAGTCATAGACTCCCTGACACTGTATGGAGTCATCACTCCCTGAAACTCTACGTTTACTGTAGGAGTCACATACTCCCTGAAACTGTACGTATACTGTAGGAGTCAGATACTCCCTTAAACTGTACGTATACTGTAGGAGTCACATTCTCCCTGAAACTGTACATATACTGTAGGAGTCACATACTCCCTGAAACTGTACATATACTGTAGGAGTCACATACTCCCTGAAACTGTACGTATACTGTAGGAGTCATAGACTTCCCTGACACTGTATGGAGTCAACACTCCCTGAAACTGTACGTATGCTGTAGGAGTCACATACTCCCTGAAACTGTGCATTATACTGTAGGGTCAGATACTCCCTTAAACTGTGCATTATGCTGTAGGGTCACATTCTCCTGAAACTGTACATACATATACTGTAGGAGTCACATACTCCTGAAACTGTGCATATGCTGTAGGAGTCACATACTCCTGAAACTTACATTATGCTGTAGAGAGTCATAGACTCCCTGACACTGTATGGAGTCATCACTCCCTGAGAACTGTACGTATACTGTAGGAGTCACCACTCCCTGAAACTGTACATATACTGTAGGTCATACTCCCTGAGAGCTGTATATGCAGGGAGAGCTCACTGATGACACTGGAGTCACATCCCTGAAACTGTGCGTATACGCACTATGGAGCCACATGCTCCCTACACTGTATGAGTCATCACTCCCTGAAACTGTACGTATACAGTAGGAGTCACATACTCCCTGACACTATATGTAGGAGTCACATACACTCACATGACACTGTGTGCACGTATACTGTAGGAGTCATCACACTCCTGTAGGAGTCACACACTCCCTGAAACTGTACATATACTGTAGTAGTCCCATACTCCCTGAAACTGTTCATATTCTGTAGGAGTCACATACTCCCTGAAACTGTACATATACTGTAGGAGTCACATACTCCCTGAAACTGTACGTATACTGTAGGAGTCATAGACTCCCTGACACTGTATGGAGTCATCACTCCCTGAAACTGTACGTATACTGTAGGAGTCACCACTCCCTGAAACTGTACATATACTGTAGGAGTTACATACTCCCTGAAACTGTACATATACTGTAGGAGTCATAGACTCCTTGACACTGTATGGAGTCATCACTCCCTGAAACTGTACGTATACTGTAGGAGTCACATACTCCCTGACACTGTAAGGAGTCATCACCACTCCCTGAAACTGTACGTATACTGTAGGAGTCACATACTCCCTGACACTGTACATGTACTGTAGTAGTCACATACTCCCTGAAACTGTACATATACTGTAGGAGTCACATACTCCCTGAAACTGCACATATTCTGTAGGAGTCACATGCTCCCTTGAACTGTACGTATACTGTAGGAGTCACATACTCCCTGACACTGTATGGAGTAATCACTCCCTGACACTGTACATATACTGTTGTAGGAGTCATCACTCTGACTCTGAAACTGTAGGGTCATATGACTGTGTACATATACTGTAGGAGTCACATACTCCCTGAAACTGTACATATACTGTAGGAGTCATAGACTCCCTGACACTGTATGGAGTCATCACTACCTGAAACTGTACGTATACTGTAGGAGTCACATACTCCCTGACACTGTAAGGAGTCATCACTCCCTGAAACTGTACGTATACTGTAGGAGTCACATACTCCCTGAAACTGTACGTATACTGTAGGAGTCATAGACTCCCTGAAACTGTACGTATACTGTAGGAGTCATAGACTCACTGACACTGTATGGAGTCATAATTCCATGATATTGTACATATACTGTAGTAGTCATAGACTCCCTGACACTGTATGGAGTCATCACTCCCTGAAACTGTACGGATACTGTAGGAGTCACATACTCCCTGACACTGTAAGGAGTCATCACTCCCTGAAACTGTACGTATACTGTAGGAGTCACATACTCCCTGAACTGACTCCGTAACTGTCACTTATTCAAATCGTTGCACGGCTCCATATGCTCTAACCGAAGCCCCACGGAGAGCTGGCGATAGAGTTATCTTGACGTAACATATGGATTGTCTTGCGCTATACAGCCACAGTTGTAGAAGCAGGGGATCTCTACAATTATGCAAAACAATATTAAACCATACCGAATGGCTTGTGTTAAAATTTCTCATAACAGAACAAGCGCGTTTGTTTACAAACAAGAAAATGTACCTGATATGGAAATTAGCCTGTGACACTGATGTGGTTTTAACATGTTTTTATTTCGGCAAAACTGAAACCTGGATAGCGAACAAGACTAGTGGCTTATGTAAACGCTGCTCCAGTACATTAGCTGGGCTCATAAATGAAATAATTTAACAACTAAAGAATAATATTGAGAAAGAATATCAGATATATGGTTGAATAATGAATATGTTCGTCATGGTGTTGGTGACAGCGATGTTACGTTAAGTTGGTTTTATCGTGCTCCGATATGACGTCACGGTGGCATGGAACAGTGACAATAGAATAAGTCACTTAAAGTTCATGGAAAATCCCCAGAATTTTCTGTCACGTTGTTAATCTGATAGTGAATATAGTTTTTTGTAACCACTTTTTCCCTGTTGAGTGACCTTTTGTCTTTATCATATCCTGGTTGTCCAAACAAATTCACAGTGAACGATGCAAACTCTCCATTTAAGTATTGACCAATCAGATTCGATGATAAACGGAAGTACAAATCAGGTATTCCCCATTCTAGATGTCATGTTGTAGCGGTCTACGTGGTCAGCCGACACAATCCTGCTCCAACCAGGTGTGCCCAGTGCAGATCTGTCCTGTGATTCTCCTATACAAGCAGACAGAGGAAGTGTTTTATTGATTGATTTGAGATCGGAGTCCAGTTTAAATTCATAAAAAGTAACTCGTCTGCCAGCCGACGTGCACTAGCAGACGCATCAGGATCGTGATCTCAGACGACACTTGACTGTGTAACGGATGCTTTCTCCAAACACGGGGTTCAAGTCTGTACATTTCAGACATTACAAACCTATACGAACAGACGACATACACTGACAGTGCTGCTGTATCTGCTAACCAATGTAACTATGGCAACCCTTCCAACAGGTCTCCGAAAGTCAAGAGGCCGTGTTAATCCACACGGTCCTGCTAATCAAGACTGCCAGCCCAGTACTCATGTTCCTAGACCGCTCGACTAATCGAAACAATTTCATGCCTACTTCTGCCAAGATACTCTCGATTCCCTTTGGACAAGAAGTCTCATTGACGAACTAGAAGGGATTCATGGATATCAGTGTGCCGAGTACCACAGGGATTTAGTGGTAGGAGAGAGGGTTCTGGATTTAATGACTATGTTCATTTTCACGTCGGACAGAATCGTCTTTATTCTGTCTGAGAATTTTCTCAAGTCAAACTATGCTATGTATCAACTTCAGCTTGCCGTGCAGTATGCCATTGACCACGACACAAACAACATTGTGGCACTCCACGTGGACGAGTGTAGAGTCCCATCAGAGCTGCTGACATTTCAGATCATTGACACAAAGTCTCACAGATGGAAAGAAAGTTTTCTGGATTATTTGAAGAATCCCGGTACGTCATCCTTGCTTTTCACACAATCTACACACACGCTGTACATCATCCTTGCTTTTCACACAATCTACACACACGCTCTACGCATTCCTTGCTTTTCACAGTCTACACACACGCTTTACATTCTCCTTGCTTTTCACAATCTACACACACTCTGTACATCCTCCTTGCTTTTCACACAATCTAAACACATGCACTTCAATCTCCATGCGTCTCACACAATCTACACACACGCTCTACGTCCTCTAAGCTTTTCAAATAATCTACACGCACGCTTTACACTCTCCATGCGTTTCACGCAATCTACACACACGCTGTACATCCTTCCTTTTCACATAATCTACACACACGCTCTACATAGTCCTTGCGTTTCACACAATCTACACACACACACTCTACACACACACACACTCTACATACTTGCTTTTGACACAATCTACACACACGCTGTACATCCTTGCTTTTCACACAATCCACAAACACGCTCTCGACCTCCAAGTTTTCCACAAGTCTACACACACTCTGTACATCCTCCTCCTTTCGTCTCACACAACACTACCTCCTTGGGTTTCACACAAGCTCACTACAACCTACACACATCGCTCGCTCTCTACACCCTCCTTTTCACACACTCTCACATACCCTTGCATTTCACACACTCTACACACACGCTACACACACGCTCCACATACTCCTTGCTCGTTTCACACGCTCCCACTCTACACACACACACACGCTCTACATCCTTGCGTCCTTGCGTTTCACACACTCTACACTCCTTGCTCTCACATACTCCTTGCGTTCCTTGCACACACTCTACGCACACGTTCTATGTACTCCTTGCGTTTCACACTCTACGCATCTACACGCTGGCTTTCTCTACATACTCCTTGCGTTTCACACACACTCTACACACGCTCTACTTCCTCCTTGCGTTTCACACACTCTACATGCTTGTCAATGTAAGAGATGAGGTTAATGGAGCAATACATTAATGTCAGTGTTTCTTGCTCGCTTTTATTAAGTGACGCTCGATAATCTTAAATTAGACGTGTATACACATGTGACCCCTGTAGAGAAACCACTCATTGTATTATGAAGATCTTTGTTATGGTTATAAACCAAAGAATTGTTCATTTATTGTTAAGTGTTTTGAATATGTATTGAAAAAACATAGTTACAGATTTAACAAGCTTCTGTGTACACAATTAACCACTTGTTAAGACACTGGATGTCGTGTTGGAGCATAAGGAAATCCCGCACCTCACATTGCCTATTTCTTTCAAGCTGCTGTGGAGGTTACTGGGAGTAACCAGACATTTTATTTGTCTGCAGAACATAAAATCTATTTTCATTAATGAGTTTGTTAGCATCTTTAAATGCTTGTTGGGCCGTCTTCATCCCTACTGGCCACCAGTGCGTTCGTGAACCTTTGAATTACGTGCTATCTATCAAATACGGGATTACAGCCACTGTTAGCTTTGTCTTCGGATTTATGTTCCAGGTAACGCAGATAAGTTTTACGTTTGTTATATTCCAGCACCCAAGATGCCAGCCCAAATATGCACTAATGGAAGTGAGTAGACATTTTTTTACTGTCGTTATTTTCAATGTAAAACTAATAATTCTAAATATGATCTCAAGTCAGCGTACATGCCACTCCACTGTAATTCCGTGTTTCATTGTAGCTCATGTGAGTGTGACAGACCTGTGTAAGACTAATCGGTCAGTGATGTCCGAGCCACCGACGCTGAAGGCCACGCTCTGCATCCCTGCCTACATCAGACACAGGATCAGGGTATGGCGCCAAAGGTCATCAAAACATCACTCACAGATACCACACATTATATGTACTTGATGTTTGTCCTTTTCTGACATCACTCACAGATATCACACATAATATGTACTTGATGTTTGCCCTTTTCTGACATCACTCACAGATACCAATTTTCTTTCCTGTCTTTACATATCCCTGCATATGTACTTGATGTTTGTCCTTTTCTGACATTACTCACATATACCATACATCATATGTACTTGATGTTTCTCCTTTTCTGACATCACTCACAGATATCACACATAATATGTACTTGATGTTTGTCTTTTTCTGAAATCACTCACAGATACCACACATGACATGTACTTGATGTTTGTCCTTTTCGGACATCACTCACAGATACCACACATGATATGTACTTGCTGTTTGTCCTTTTCCGACATCACTCACAGATACCACATATGACATCACTCACAGATACCACACATGATATGTACTTGATGTTTGTCCTTTTGTGAAATCACTCACAGATACCACACATGATATGTACTTGATGTTTGTCCTTTTCTGACATCGCTCACATTTACCACACATGACATGTACTTGATGTTTGCCCTTTCACACTTGAAATGTACTTGATGTTTGTCCTTTTCTGACATCACTCACAGATACCACACATAATATGTACTTGATGTTTGTCCTTTTCTGACATCACTCACAGATACCACACATGATATGTACTTAATGTTTGTCCTTTTCTGACATCACTCACATTTACCACACATTATATGTACTTGCTGTTTGTCCTTTTCCGACATCACTCACAGATACCACATATGACATCACTCACAGATACCACACACGATATCTACTTGATGCTTGTCCTTTTGTGACATCACTCACAGATAGCACACACATGATATGTACTTGATGTTTGTCCTTTTCTGACATCACTCACATTTACCACACATGACATGTACTTGATGTTTGCCCTTTCACACATGATATGTACTTGATGTTTGTCCTTTTCTGACATCACTCACAGATACCACACATGATATGTACTTGATGTTTGTCCTTTTCTGACATCACTCACAGATACCACACATAATATGTACTTGATGTTTGCCCTTTCATACATGATATGTACTTGATGTTTGTCCTTTTCTGACATCACTCAGAGATACCACACATAATACGTACTTGATGTTTGCCCTTTCATACATGATATGTACTTGATGTTTGTCCTTTTCTGACATCACTCACAGATACCACACATGATATGTTCTTGATGTTTGTCCTTTTCTGACATCATTCACAGATACCACACATAATATGTACTTGATGTTTGCCCTTTTTTTGACATCACTCACAGATACCACACATAATATGTACTTGATGTTTGTCTTTTTCTGAAATCACTCACAGATACCACACATGATATGTACTTGATGTTTGTCCTTTTCTGACATCACTCACAGATACCACACATAATATGTACTTGATGTTTGTCCTTTTGCTCCTGAAATCACTCCACAGATACCACATATACCACATATGATATGTACTTGATGTTTGTCCTTTTCTGACATCACTCACAGATACCACTTATAATATGTACTTGATGTTTGTCCTTTTTTGACATCACTCACAGATATCACGCATAATATGTACTTGATGTTTGTCCTTTTATGAAATCACTCACAGATACCATACATGATATGTACTTGATGTTTGTCCTTTTCTGACATCACTCACAGATACCACTTATAATATGTACTTGATGTTTGTCCTTTTTTGACATCACTCACAGATATCACACATAATATGTACTTGATGTTTGTCCTTTTCTGACATCACTCACAGATACCACACATAATATGTACTTGATGTTTGTCCTTTTCTGAAATCACTCACAGATACCACACATGATATGTACTTGATGTTTGTCCTTTTCTGACATCACTCACAGATACCACACATAATATGCACTTGATGTTTGTCTTTTTCTGACATCACTCACAGATACCACACATAAAATGTACCTGATGTTTGTCCTTTTCTGACATCACTCACAGATATCACACATAATATGTACTTGATGTTTGTCCTTTTTGACATCACTCACAGATACCACATATGATATGTACTTGATGTTTGTCCTTTTCTGACATCACTCACATATACCACACATGATATGTACTTGATGTTTGTCTTTTTCTGACATCACTCACAGACAGGATACAGCGTCAGTCGGCCAACTAAAGAAGTTATATCTTGTTGAACATCGGGTTCATGCATTAACCTTACACGTATCTGCCATATTGGATTCTACCCAACATTGTGTAATTGCAATTTAAAGAACGTGTGGGTAATGTGAAATAATTTTCTATTTGTCGATAAGGTTTACATGTACATGTAGCGAGGAAATGACACAAAGTTGTCCAATGTACGTAGTCTCTCGCTCCGTTGACATGTAATTCTGAAAGTATGGAAGCCCCTTTCCATCTTGAAATCACGATATTTAATTTCATAAGGATCTGTTCTACTGATATTATCAAGTTCTGTGGATCTTCATATATCACTGATATTTTTAATGCTGCGTAATTACGCGTCCGCTTTGAATCCCGTTTATAGCATTTCTTTGCCAATACTAACATATAACATTTTGTATTGTAAGATGTTAAATCAGTAAAAAATGCTATATTGTGCTCCGAAGAAAAGATACAGTAACACCTCTTTGTATAATGTCTACACAACATCCGGAGCATTCATGTATGAAGATGTAATCTTTCAAAGTGATGCATCGCCTCTGTAGTCAGATGAGCCAGCGTGTGCACCGGAAGTGGATGGTTTCTGATCCAAGTCTGACCAAAAGACTTTAAACGATGGTGCGGGGTGTTTTCATCCCTGGCGGTCAGCAGTTAGGCGATAAAACAAGGACATTTGTTTCACTCGGAGTGAAAATACTTTGCCTGAGTGAGGTACCAATATTAACTGCGGAATGGGATGTCTGTGCACTAGTACTATATCACCGGCATATTTAAGAACTGGTACAAACAGTCATATACACGCACACGCACACGCACACACATGCCTCAGTGTAGTAGTCTTGAACACGACCCAGCTTCACTTCACCTCACTTTTAGTGGCTGCCTAGATCTCGGGTACTTTTAACTGATATATCTTTCAGATCTGGCACAGGTGCCAGTCACTGGATGAAACCCATCTTCGGAAAGCAGCAATCCCAGAAGTGAGTGATCTGATCAGTCGGAGTAGGTCATGTACGACATATCACCACAATCAGTGTCCATTACGGGTTTCAACTGTATCATGAACACATCAGCTGAATAGAGTGCTCCGGCCTTTTCCCGATTACCCACAATGCACCACCAGCCGCCATTTCGGTAGGCGGTCTGTGTCAACAAAGGCTCAGTCGTCCTATTGTTATGCAAATATGCCGACTACCTGTGCCGTTGTTAAGTGTCACAACCGGTCGGGTCGCGATAAGGTTAGCTTTTATCGTATCCCAGTTGTCATGAAAGGTCAAGGCGAAGCAACTGAGAGGAAAAGCGAGTGTTGTAGACGACTCTGGCTTGCTGCAATCAACCGGGCGGATGTCGATGAAAAAACATGCAACCAGCTTCGTGTGTGCTCTGATCATTTCATATCAGGTACTTGTTATACACACATTTTTTATATATTCAACAGACTTTTTACATATACAGAGTCGTTCAAAAAGTATTTGGACACTTGACGTAATTTCCATAGACTACATGTTAATTTAGTGCAGCCTAAATGTTTTTCATGAATTTCATTTTCGTAAGATCCAAGTCAAGTTTTGCACATTTGTGAGGAATCATCTTACCTACAATGACATAATTTCTGTTGAATTTTCCGTTGCTTATTTATCGAATGGCAACAATGTAATCAACATATGTACAGTAGATATGTAATAATACCTCAATGAAATGTATATCAACCGTGTCTGTCCTACAAAGAAAGTTTGACATGGTTTTCACTCTGTAAAGTCTGATGTTTTGGTGTTTTGATTTTATGTATACATCGTAGTTACTTGTGAAATTGTCATAAGTTAACAAAGTTTATGTGTTATGTTGTTTGTTTTCAAATTAGGTCTTTAATCTAAAATCTATATCAAAACAATTTGAGTCTCATGCGGAGGTAGATAGTCAAGCTGATTTTGTAACATTATTTTCGATTTTGAAACTTTATCACTGCAACAAAATAATATGAGGTAAATGTTAGTGTTTAACATTTACTTTTTGATATTTCAGGTGCAAGAAACAAATATGATGAAACAAACCCAGACTGGGTTCCCAACAAGAATCTGGGATATGATGCAAAATCTCCAACGAAGTCGGCGATCCGCCACGAGAGGTTACAAAACCGAAAACAGACAATTAAGATGAATGAAGCTGCAATATCTGTTTTCGGTTTCTGAACCTCCATGTGCAGAGGAAGTTGATGGTGTTGACAGTACAGAAGCAACCGATACTGAGTTAACAGATGCAGAAAAGCTTGAATTTGCAATGAAAGAATTTCCGAGTTGGAATTTGAGAATGCAAGACTGAAAGAGCAGAATGAGTGTTTGCAGAATATTGTACACAAAATGAAAGCCAATTTACCTGAGGATTTTGAAGATGACAATGATAACATGAAATATTACACAGGTTTACCAAGTTTCACAATTCTGATGGCACTGTTCAACCTTCTAGCACCCGATATGCATGAAAATGGAAATAGCTCACTGAACAAATTCCAGAAAATAATTCTGACGCTCATGAGACTGCGACTTAATTTACCAATTACAGAACTCAGCTATCGTTTTGGTGTTTCACGAACCACAGTGTCAAAGGTTTTCTTAGATACATTGCACTTGATGCATGATATCATGGGGCCTCTAGTGCGTTGGCCAGACAGGGATGAACTTTACGAGACAATGCCAATGGTTTTTCGAAAACACTTTGGAAAGCATGTTACCTGCATTATTGATTGCTTTGAAATTTTTATTGATCGCCCCTCAAACTTGGTCCAGCTACAAGCACCACAATACTGCCAAATACTTAATTGGAATTACCCAACAAGGGTCTGTGAGTTATATTTCCAAAGGATGGGGTGGAAGAACCAGTGACAAGTTTTTGACTGCCCACTCAAACTTTCTTGACAATCTCAGCCATGGTGATGTTATTCTAGCTGACAGAGGGTTTGACATTAAAGAATTAGTTGCACTTGTTGGCGCTGAAGTGAAATATCCTGGATTCATGAGGGGGAAAAAAGCAAATGTGTGGACCAGAGGTAGAAGGAACAGGGAAAATTGCGAATGTTCGCATACATGTTGAAAGGGTTATTGCAACAGTCAGGCAGAAGTTCATGATCCTTGGTGCCACCATTCCAATTGACTATCTCATTTCTAAACCTGAAGAAGAGTATGTAATACTGGACAAGATAGTCACAATTTGTTGTTCACTAACTAATTTGTGCCCCTCTGTTGTACCATTCGACTAACCATCAAAGGTTTGCTTGCAGAAGCTCGCTTCAGTAACATTGTCACAGGGCTTGATTAATATTTAGTAAAGGAAAAAGGAAAAAACAAACAAAACATGTCTGCAGTTTATCCCAATTAGATAAGAAAACAAATTCTTATTTCATGATTGGATAACCCAAGCTGCACTGATGAGCCCTGGGAGGGCGAAACATGTTTGAGTGACAAATTCTGTTAACAGTAAAAACAAACCGAAGAATGAATGAAAGTGGTTTTACAGAGATCCATGTCTACCATTGTAATGTTTGATGTTTATGCAAATGCATGTTACCATGATAATGTAAGATGAAAAGAATATATTAATGTGCTCGATTTAGTGCTTTGTTCCTTGCACTGGTGCAACCTAATATTACTAAGTGCAACATAAGTTATGAGTCTGACTTGCACATGGTGCAAGTACATTTTTGAGAGGTCAACAATAATTCTAACATTATAGGCATTGGTATGTCAGCTCATTATTCTTCTATACTTTGAATAGCTATGGCACTGAAGCATTGCTATTCATAGACACGTCTCGGGTATGACAGCTCTGTGTGGCTATAGTTTCGTAGGTACTACATCACGGATATATGTTATGTGCACCGAAACCTCTGACGTTGCAACTGGATAGGAACTCAAGCGTGTATGCTGCTTTCTAGACAACGAGAAGGCCTTCGACAGAATATGGCACGACGGACTCCTCCTGAAACTACACACTATTGGTGTGAAGGATCGTGCATGGCATCTAATCCAGCAATCATATAAAGAAGCACAAGCCCGTGTAAGTACAACGGGATGACAAGTGATGTGTTTCATATCCACCAAGGAGTAGGACAAGGGCGAGTGTTATCAGCATGGATGTTTCTAGTCTACATCAATGACCTTATTTCGGAGCTAGACCAATTACAATGTGGAGTAATTATTGGCACGAATCACATCCCGACAGTTCTACTTGCTGACGACACCACAGTCGTCAGTACTACTGTACATGGTCTCAATGTGGCTCTTAACAAGATCCACCAATATGCCTGCCGTTGGAGAATGACATACAACGCTAGTAAGAGCTGTGTCCTGTCCTTCACAAATTCTACAAAATATCTCAACAAACCCGTTTTCAGAATCGGGGATGTAAGACTGCCAATCAAATCCAACACTGTGTATGCGGGATCCATCATGCATACAGAAAAGCAAGAAAGGACAACTCGTGCATGTGCCAAGGCGAGAAGAGCAATAAACTCACTCCGAGATGTAGGATTACGAGCTGGTGGATTAAACCCTGTGTCATCGTCCAATATCTGGCAAAGAGTTATCTTTCCTTCTGCATTCTACGCATGTGAGCTATGGAGCAATATCAGCAGCACTGAGATGAATGAAATGGAAATTGTCCAGCGCTACTTTGCTAGAAGAGTCCAGAACCTCCACAAGAGATCTCCTTCAGTTGCTACAGCTCAGGTACTAGGGCTATGGTCAATGCAAGGCAGAGTAGATAAATCAAAGCTCCTGTTTTGGGGCCGACTCTGTCGCTCAGCCAGTACCAGTATTGTGAAGCCTATCATGTATTTGAGATTCGCGGAATATATGTCTACTGTGGTAAAAGTACAAGATCGATTGCCCATGACCTCTTGAATGCAGCTCACAAATATGGATTTTCAGATATCATTGACACCTTCATGACAACAGGAGAATTTCCATGCAAAAATGTATGGAATTCCATGGTACAGAAGGCTATATGCCACCACGAACACACTGAATGGAGAAATAAACTCCAAGAGCGTCCAAATATGCAGAGATTTGGTGCCATTCATACGCGCCTCTCTCCTCATCGTCTCTGGAACCTGTGTTTGTGGTATAACATGGCCACCCCTCCTGTCTATGCTCTGATAAAGTTGGGTATACTGCCCGTCACACTTGGACTGTGTCTTATATGCGAGACTGAAAGTGAGGACATTGTAAAACATCAACTCCTATACTGTGACAAGCTGGTAGAAAACAGGAACGCACTGAGCGAGCATCTGTTTGATAACGTGTCTCTTGACACGTATATGAGACTCGAAGATGCTGAAGACGAGGTTAAAATCCTCACATACCTTGGTTCCATTACTCCGGTTGTGCAGGACATGACCCTCGATAGCTGGGCTAGGTTCATGAGCATTATTGCAAAACGCATCAGTGCATGGAACCTAGCCAGCATTCTGTATTTATAAGAATAGCATGCAATGCTTTGTACATATTGCCCAGTGATCATCTGTTGCCAAGAGCTATGATTTTTTATGTTCTGTTGAATTTTTCAAATATTATTGAACTTTCTATTTTGTCACAAATGTGTGTTATGCTCTAAAAATATATACATAACTGGATGTATAACTCATCAAACCATTGGTGGAAATAAAGAACATTCATTCTTTCATTCATTCATCAGCTGAATAGAGTGCTCCGGCCTTTTCCCGATTACCCACAATGCACCAGCAGCCGCCATTTCGGTAGGCGGTCTGTGTCAACAAAGGCTCAGTCGTCCTATTGTTATGCAAATATGCCGACTACCTGTGCCGTTGTTAAGTGTCACAACCGGTCGGGTCGCGATAAGGTTAGCTTTTATCGTATCCCAGTTGTCATGAAAGGTCAAGGCGAAGCAACTGAGAGGAAAAGCGAGTGTTGTAGACGACTCTGGCTTGCTGCAGTCAACCGGGCGGATGTCGATGAAAAAAACATGCAACCAGCTTCGTGTGTGCTCTGATCATTTCATATCAGGTACTTGTTATACACACATTTTATATATTCAACAGACTTTTACATATACAGAGTCGTTCAAAAGTATTTGGACACTTGACGTAATTTCCATAGACTTACATGTTAATTTAGTGCAGCCTAAATGTTTTTCATGAATTTCATTTTCGTAAGATCCAAGTCAAGTTTTGCACATTTGTGAGGAATCATCTTACCTACAATGACATAATTTCTGTTGAATTTTCCGTTGCTTATTTATCGAATGGCAACAATGTAATCAACATATGTACAGTAGATATGTAATAATACCTCAATGAAATGTATATCAACCGTGTCTGTCCTACAAAGAAAGTTTGACATGGTTTTCACTCTGTAAAGTCTGATGTTTTGGTGTTTTGATTTTATGTATACATCGTAGTTACTTGTGAAATTGTCATAAGTTAACAAAGTTTATGTGTTATGTTGTTTTTTGTTTTCAAATTAGGTCTTTAATCTAAAATCTATATCAAAACAATTTGAGTCTCATGCGGAGGTAGATAGTCAAGCTGATTTTGTAACATTATTTTCGATTTTGAAACTTTATCACTGCAACAAAATAATATGAGGTAAATGTTAGTGTTTAACATTTACTTTTGATATTTCAGGTGCAAGAAACAAATATGATGAAACAAACCCAGACTGGGTTCCCAACAAGAATCTGGGATATGATGCAAAATCTCCAACGAAGTCGGCGATCCGCCACGAGAGGTTACAAAACCGAAAACAGACAATTAAGATGAATGAAGCTGCAATATCTGTTTTGGAACTAAGCGCCCTCGGTTTCTGAACCTCCATGTGCAGAGGAAGTTGATGGTGTTGACAGTACAGAAGCAACCGATACTGAGTTAACAGATGCAGAAAAGCTTGAATTTGCAAATGAAAGAATTTCCGAGTTGGAATTTGAGAATGCAAGACTGAAAGAGCAGAATGAGTGTTTGCAGAATATTGTACACAAAATGAAAGCCAATTTACCTGAGGATTTTGAAGATGACAATGATAACATGAAATATTACACAGGTTTACCAAGTTTCACAATTCTGATGGCACTGTTCAACCTTCTAGCACCCGATATGCATGAAAATGGAAATAGCTCACTGAACAAATTCCAGAAAATAATTCTGACGCTCATGAGACTGCGACTTAATTTACCAATTACA